AATATGAAATAGGGTTTCATCTTTTCCGAGATCAGGCTTGTCCTTACATTGATATATTCAAGGTTGAAAATGTCTTTTCAAAAAAAAAAAAGGCTTTCCCAAATTGCTGGAAAACTCTGTTTTGCTTTAGTCAAAATCCTTAACTCTAATTAAGGTGAAAATTAGTTTATAGTGTATCTTAAGAACTTCTTTGATGATACGTATGTATGTGCTAATAATTATAATAAAATGCACTTAACTTTTTTATTATTCTCGTTTTTCACAGCCAAGACTCTTAAAGAAAGTTTAATAAATTTTATTAATATTTTAATAACACAAGCGAAAGCTATTTTTACAAACACTGCCCTAACCTTCTTATATATATTAGTTACAATTTTAAACCTTATTGATAATAAAGTGGATTGTGAAGAAATAATATATTAATAAATGTTCTTTGTAAACTTAGATTTTTTTATATATTTACAATAATCGATTTAATTCTGAGAAAGAGAAATATTAGCGAAAATACTACTTTATCTTAAATCTTTGTAATATTTAAAAAGAAATCTAGATAATTAATTCACTGATAAGTTTATTTTACATTCAAAGAATTCGTAGACAGATTCATTTCACAGACAAGTTAAAATTTTACAAAATTTAGATATAAAAGATATGTTCCTTTAAATCATTCTAACTCTAATTCTAATAAAAAAAATGAGCTGTCTATTAAAATAAGTTAACTAGAAATAAATTTATAAATTAATGTTCGTAAAATAATCATGTCGATAAATTGATTGTCTATGAACTAAAATGTCTGTGAAGCGATTGTAAGTTATAAGCTAAAGACAAATGTTCATGCATTCTCTCGCATGCGAAAAGACAATTTAAAAAATATATTTCTATCCTAGTCCACAATGCATATCTATTTTATATAATGCTTTAAAATCTATCTTTATCTTTATAGTCTAAATCGAATGGGTAAAAGTTGAGATTTGTACGTTGTCTTTTAATGCACGGATGCTTTGCATAGAATTACTCTTCATTATGATATGATCGTTTTAATACAATATCCCGTACAATCTGTTCACCAACGCCAGGAATAATAGAGATAAAATTAGGATTTATGTCCTTGATAAGAGAAAATATGGCATATAATAAAAACATGAAGCCAAAGTATGTTCTAAAATTCTCTTTTGCGATAAGTAGACAACGGCCCGGTAGTTCTGAAAGATCACCATAATATGAATGTGTAGTATAATATTTCGATTTCAGAATACTTTCAATGTTTTTGATGGATTCTTCTAAAACTTGATACAATGTAAATTCTTCCGAGTTATAGTCCCACTTGTCTTGCTCAATTTTGAGAAGCTTGGACCGTCAACAACTTCTCTAACAATGAATTAATTCCCAAACAAGGCTGACTTACCATTAATAACCAAGACATTCCCTTCTTTCCAATTAATCGTTTAGTTATCAGTTTTTTTTGTTAAATTTAATAATGAGAATTGCTCATTGGCCTGGCAGGCAGAAAGCTTTTTTAATATCCAATATACTATTTTTTCTATAGGCACCGCGGTATACTCCCGCAGATGTAGTGTTTGTATTCCACGTTCGATAAATAAATTGGTACAAAACACCCCATGATGTGCAATAAATTTCTCCCACTCCTGCCTATTATTTAAGTAAAAATGTTTTCTCAAGTGGCTCTTGTGCAATGTATAAGATGTCATTATAGATGCAGAGAAAAAAAATATATATTTTAATCAAATGTATCATAACGTTTGAGAATTATATGCGAATTGCTTTCCAGGTTTTCAATGGTGTGAATATGGTCATTCTGATCTAGACATTCGTTTAAACTAACGGGAATTTCTTTAATACAATTGATATATGGGTGCCGTCAAAAGAAAACCTGCCATCGGGCTTTCAAGTATATTTTGTGTACAGATCGTATCCTGTGTTCCA